TCCCTCTAATTTTATGGTATATCCTTGTAGTTTTTGTTTGACTACCTCCTGGCCCAAGAGATCCTCATTAAAATAAGATTTGCATGTCGTGGGCTGTCTTACTCATCTGGTGAAAATAGTTGAAGAAGTAGCATGCACAGATCGCAAAACAGGAATGGAAGAGGCCCTTCCACTCCTAGAAGTAGGAGTTATGCTGAATCAAGCAAGAACTTCAGAAGATGAAAATAGTTACTGTGGATCAGTGGCTTTTTTTTTTTTCTAACTTTAAAGATCAATGTTTTCATTAGTTTTTTGAATTTTGGGAAATGTTTAACTGAAGTAATTTCATTATTGATTTTTTAAGAGGGAAAAAAAAAAGAAAAAGACAATACCTGGACAGTTCAAATAAAAGTTGTCTCTTATGCATATTCTGGAGAATTTGGTGCTTTGCTCAACATTCTTTAACAAGGCTGTATCTAACTCTGGTCATAACACTGTTTGTATAGTGTCTTTGACACAGCATTTCTTCGTATAACTTAAATTTTTGCTCTGGTTATATTCCTGTTGTGTCTTCATTGAAATGAATTAATAAAGACTCTTTTCTCATATGTCTAACTGTTCTGAATGCTAGTCACTATCATGGTCTTGTTTGAATTATTTTCCTTCATGCTTTCCATTCCTGTGCTGGAGCTCACTCGGACATAGCTTTTTTTAATCTTCAATCTTCAAAGACTTATTAAGCTCTATCTCTATTTGTATGAAATTTGTTTCGTTCATTTTCTAGGTTGCAGAAGCTGATAACTTGTCACTTTTAATCTTGGCACCTTTAATCTTGACTAAATAGTTTAGCAAATGATTTTTTTTTTTTAAGACAATAGTGTCTTATGTATATTATCAATGCTCGTGACCCCAGCCATGATATGACTGTATAAAGACATAAGCGATAAAATGGAAATTCTTTGATGCAGTAGGCATATGATGAGGTTAGATCTCTCTGTTGAAGAACTAAAATGAAATTTGGAAAATTACTAGCCTGAAGGGGTAACGTTAGTTACTACACAGCCCTAGCAGTTTTGCTAAAATTGATTTACAGTGTCTCAGTAATGAATTGGTTGAATTTCTTTGTCTTTCCATGAATATTCTTTAGGAGAACACCTAGCAATGATATTGAAAGAACAGCCCTGCAATAATTAAAGTTGAACAGATGTCAGGGTTTTGTACGGTCTATAATAAATCTTTAGGAGGCAATGCTCTGGAGTTACAGAAGGGAGAAAGGAATCCAAAGAAGTGATCGAGGTACAGGGAAGCCTTCCGAAATGTCTCTTGGTGAAAGGCTCTCATCAGCCAGCACACGTTGTGCTCAGAGTTTCCATTTCATCTTTCCACGGTTTCGGTGGGAGTGCGGTTCTCCCGACACACACGGAAAGGAAGAGAAAACGAGGAGGTTCTGGGCTGCAGGTTAGCGCAGGGCTTATCCCCATTTCCCGTGCTGTGCAGTGACAACATTAATTAACGGGACATGAGCTGCCTGTGTTTGCTTAGTGATCAGCAGTTAACAACGGGCGGCTAATGCTTGCTGCTAAGCTGAACAGTCAGTGTTCACTGAAATGGGTGAGGGCTCTGAGCAAGAGCCCTTTGGGTGAGATCATCTTTAAAATCCAGGAGGTCTTTGCCAACAGTTTGTCTTTCTAATGTCTGCTTGTATCCTGGTCCGTTATAAATGGCAGAATGAAGGTTGGGGTAGGTCCCATTTTCGTACGGCGCTGGAGCCTCATGGTAAATACTGAATAAATTGCCAGAACACGTTTAGGTGTATGAAGTGCCAAGTCATGTCTGAAAGGAAGAATACATGTCAATAAAATGGTAATTCAGTTGAAAATGATAGTGTTCAAATGCCAGTTGTTAATGAGGTGGTTCAGCACATTTAATGCTTAACATCCTTATCTAGCTACTCTGTGTTCTTCTAAAATACCATATATTGACAATAAATCCACAGATTACTTGCAGGGAAGTCAGAGGCAGAGGGATCTGAGGCTGAAGGGGTACTGGGAGATGAAGAGGATCAAAAAAAAAAAAGAGAAAAGAGAGGGAGGATTGTGGGGTCAGATTCCCATTGCATTACCTTCATGCGTTATGCCTGGGCAGGTCCATATGATTTCTAAAAAAGAGGAAACTTCCTGCTGGTAGCATTTGTGGAAATGTTGTAGTTAGTGTTATGGCATGGCTATGACAGAAACGGATGGAATCTCATGGTTAATTAGGAGAAATATTTCCATGCAGCAGAAAAGTACTTTGAATTTCTGGTGCATTGATAAAAACTCATACAGTTTTTAGTTTTGGTCCTCTGTTTTCAAACTAGAGACTGACGGACTGATGAAATTTGGATTTGTAAGGTGATATGAAGGAAAAAAGACCTGTTCTATGAGGCAGGGACTTGAAAAGCTGGGCTTGCTTAACCTAGTAGTATAAAGACAAGCAGCTGGGCAATACTAGCAGGACTAGCAACAGGGACAGGCAACCTACTTCAGTGATGATTAGGTGGGATTAATAACCCATAGAAGCTCCTTTCAGTCCAGTGCTCATATAGTGAAAATCCTAATTAAAAAATCCACACCCAAAAATATACACATACATATACATGTACACATACAATGCCCAAAAATAAATGAATATAAAATCCTCTGATCCCAGCCATTAGCAGAAACATGCCTTTACTTGGCTGGGCAATGTCTTTCAGGTGTGGTAGCTTTTCTTACGTGTAGATGCTGCGTGTTCTGCCGCTCTCTAAAAACTTCCCAGGCTGGAACTCACGCTCTGATTTCCCTGGGTGATCAGCAGCCTTCAGCTGCTCTTGTCCTTTGGCCTTGGCTTTCTCCTTGCAGCAGTTTCTGCCTCGGATCCCTTCGGGAAGTTGTGCCTGAGGTCCCCCTGAGCCAGGCTTTGAGTTCAAGGCTGAGCGCCCCAGAACTTTGCATAGCCATTGCAGACGTCTATTCCAGGCAACCTTCTGGTTTTGCTTTCTTCTCTGATAGTGGGTAGACAGTTTCCTGTGCCCTTAGCGCTGTTGTCAGCAGAATTCCCCAGTGGTATAACCCAGGGGAAGTCATTTGCTCCGTCAGCAGGCACATTCGGTCTATTATTATTTAGCAAAGAGGAAATATTTATTTTGAACGTGATTATGGAGGGTCTCTATTTTTTTCATGTGATTTATTTCTCATTATTAATAGATGTTTCTTTTGCAACACTATTTACCATTTGGATTCTCTAAGATAAATCAGGAATATTGTTTTTCTTTCCATATTTTTTTTGTAATGTTGTTTTGAGGTTTAAAATAAATCCACACCATTATCTGGCCTTAAAAGTTTTTCTCTTCTCATATTAGTCTGCAATGTATTCTGTTTCTGTGGCAGCAACTGGGTTTTACTCTACTTGTTCTTTAGTATATTATTAGTAGTTTAATAATAGATTGGAGAGTTGGGTTAACTTTAGTTTTCTCAGTGATTGCTTTTATTTCTTTTCACGTGCATGTTGTCAGACTTGCTTGCCAGGAGGGTTCCTACTGTCTTATGGGAATGCTAATTCTAGGTGCTCTCTATCACTTTGCTGCCTTCTTCTGAAGTAGTGAGGCTGGGGCTCGGAGCACGTGTTACATGTGTATGTGCATGATGCCTGTGTGTGTTGGATACAGGAATGGTGATAATTACTGTTTATTAGTTCTTTAGGTTTATAGGGAGACTCAAATTACTCAGTGTCTGATTTGAGGTAATGTTTGCTTTGTGCTGCCCTAAGAGAAGCTACATTTGCATGACCTCTCAGTAGAACTTGCCCTGTGAATTTTCTGTCTGAATATTCCTGCAGATTCCAGAACCTTTCAATAACCCTGACTTCCCACTAGGCCTCAGGAGCTTCCTTTGGAGCCTTGGGAAGCCATTTTTGCATCCTTGTTTTGAGAAATGTTAGTTACCTGTGTAACATTTTGTGTATGTTTTTCTTTTTAATCTACTTAAAAATTGATTTTAGACTTTAAAAATCTTTAGACTTTAGGCTTTAAAAAGCCAGAAAAATAAAAGATGGAGAATTGGAAAAGTCACACCAATCACGCACATCTCCTCCTTGCTAGTGATTCTGTTCTCAGGTGGAGAGAAAGTTTATTTGAAGCTTTAGTGGATTTTTCTTTTTTTCCATCTGTAATCTAGGAGATAGTTTCATTCATCCAGGCCTTTGACCTGGGAGAGATTGTATAAATCAATGCTGGAGCAGTAGCTCCCAGCCCCTCTTCTAACTTTCTCAGTAATGGTGATGGAAGCTCATTGCGTTCGTCTACGTAGATGGGCCTGTGTTGGGAATGCCAGTGATATTGGTGCTTATCTTGCCAGTGCTCATGACTTCCCCTGCCAGCCTGTGCTCTGGAAAGGTGTCACCTGCCAAAAGTAAAACCAAGCCCTCAAGCTAAGGTCATGCTGATGGTGACCAGTGGGATCAGGATAAGATTCATGAGAGCAGCCAGGTGCTTAGAGTTTGCTTACTCGTCATAAAGTTCAAGATTTTTTCTGTGTTGGGTTTTACCAAATCCTTTGAAAAGCAGAACGTCAGAGTTCCACAGAAAATGGGATCCGCCCTGTGAATGTTGTATCCAGGTTTTCCTCGGATGTTATTTACCTTTCTGCTTTTGCACATGATATAATATCCAATATTCCATTAGATTCTCTTCTAATTAATTGCATTTTTGTTTCAGAGTATTAATAAATATCGTTTGCCATGATACCTCTTTTTCCTTTATAGCTTCTGTTTTTCCTCTCAAACATTCTTTCCCAGTGCTTCAGAATTTGTATGTGTTTGAGTGCTGTTCATTTTGGTGCTTTATTGTCAATTTTTGTTTTAAAACATGGTGAAATGCATTCTATATTTTTAACGTAAAAGTTTATCTGTATTACGTTCTTGTAACTAGCTTTTCTGATTAGCTTTTTCAGGAAAAAAACAGTTTTACAAAGGTAACCGTTTGCTCTTATGTCTGTGTACAGGGGAAAATGCAGTGTTGCGCTTCTGAATGAAACAGAGTCTGTGTTGTCGTATCTGGAGAAAGAGGTAATACTTGTTTCAATGTTGGGATGGAGTTATGTTCCGATTTTTACAGAACTGTTTTTACTAAATAATATCTTGGGAGTATTTTTTCAAATGTTACAAGTTGTTGAAAACACTAATTTTGAAAGTATTGTGGAATAAAATCCATATTAAATGACACTTATCTTGTGTTATGGTTCTATTCTGCATATTATTCCACGTGGAGAAAAACCAAGTCTGCAAAGTAATTCCTGTGGTATCTTAAAAGAAAAATATGTCTAATGTTTTCACCTAGTGGATGTTGTAGGGGGAATCCACACAGCCCTGTGCTGTGGAAAGGTGTTCTGGTAAGAAGAGCTTTCCAGTCAATGGACAGAGAGAGAAACACTCCTCTAGAGGGCAACTTAGCATAGGAATTTAGTTTTGGGGGCTTTGAACTGGTGTGTGAAAAGTATCTCTTACTTCATTTATTGTGGAGGGAAAGAAGCTTAGCCTCGCTAGAGGGAAGAACAAAACAAAAAATAAAAAGCCCCAGGAAGCTAGTACGTATTGCAAGAGACCTTTAAAAATAAATACATTTTTTCTTGGGATTTTAACAGAGCATCAGGCAGGCAGGGCATTTTGGCTGAAGTTAGCATGTCTTTATTTTCATATTCATACACTAACCTGCATATTATTTAGGTGACCTATAATGTATCTCTTAAAGTGCTTACCCTGCTTCTACTGACAGTGCCAGAGATGCAGATGCTGTTGTGTGAGCCTTCTGCAGACACTGGCAGTGTCTTATGCTGTTTGAGACTAGCTGATGCAAACCAGGTGGGGTTTGGGAAAGGAATCATGTTTAATTCAGAAAAGTAGTCACCATTATTGCTCAAATTCCCCAATACGTTGCTATATATAGATTTCTTCACTGCACCATGGTTAGCTTCTGAGAAATGGAAGAAGCTTCTATCAGCCTTTTAAAAGAAAGGACTGATATTTCATGATTTTTCTTCTTTTCCCTGACCTCTACCATCAAGAAAGACATAGGAGGCATGAGGGGGACTGCTTTAGTGATTTGCAAATGGAAGAATGTATATATTTACAATAAATAAATAAATAAATAAATAAATCATTATGTTGTTGCAAATGTGTCTTCTTTTTTAGGATACTTTTTTTTATTCCTTGGTATATGATCCATCACTGAAAACACTCTTAGCAGACAAGGGAGAAATCAGAGTGGGGCCGAGATACCAAGCAGATGTGCCAGACATGCTTGCAGAAGGTAAATATTTGTGGAAAATCTGCTCTCTTGCATTATTGCTTATGCTGAAACTCTGAAATACACTAGTCTGCCTAAAGGCAGAGAAAGCCAAGTAGTAGGTCTTGGGAAATTGAAACTACCGGTGGATACTCTGGAGAAGCAAAGAAAGGCTGCGTGGAGTAGCTGCAAGCGTCCTTTTAAAGCTCCTGCCTAAAACAGTCCAGCCATTCTGCATCGGTTTATCTAACTAGTGCTATAGCCTAGCCAGGTCTTTCATGTAGGCCTCGTGGAAAGAAAACGTTGGGGACCGATCCATTTTCTAGAGTAATTTTAAAATAACAAAGCAAGTGGGGGGCGGGAAAAAAAAGGCATTTCCCTTTCTCTCCTGTTACATAAGTAGCCACTCTGTGCAGAATGCATATTTTTGTGTCTTTGTATTTTTACATATATTCTTAGGTACGGGCTTCCCTCAGAGCATTGTGTTTGCTTTGTTACAGGAATGAGATGCATATTTCAAGCACTGGTATCGTTTTAAAAATCATCAGTCTTTATTTTTTATTTTTCAATATAGCACAGCTACCTTTGCCTTCGTCTTATGCTACATAGTAACTTTCATTTTTTAAACAAAGTTTCAAATACAATATTTATTTAATTTGGATCGACTGCCAGAGGTCTGAGCAGCTGTGTTTTGCAATGTATTTGCAGTGATAATATTTGCTAAGTAAATTTTATAATGAACAATTTCTGCAGTGCAGTTTAAACTCTACTCGAGTACTAATAAAAGAAAAGGTTTTCATGAGAAATCCTTATGCATAAAAATTGTTTTTAGGAATCTCGGCTGCTTTTTCTGTAGTAAGAAAACGTTACAGTTCTGAATGCCACAAATAACACATTTTCATAACCTTAGATGGGATATTTTGCTTTGAGTGTGGGCATTTTTGTCAGCTATACTGTCCCTCTCCTCAAAAAATATTCTTTAATATTCTTTGTAGAAAACCTATTTAATGAGCTGCATAAAAGAAGAATGATTCAATTTCCAGGAAGTGTCAGATTATTTTATTATAGATGCAATTCAGTAGATTACATGTATTATTATCTTGACTTTTTTTTTTTAATAAAATGAAATGAACTGTAGGAAGACTCTTACAGATTTAATTATAGGCAGTGCAGCCTTATTTAAAAACATGGCTGGAATATGATACACTGCTTTTCTTGCTATAAAATGTGTCTATCCAGTCTGGAAAAAAAAATGCTGGGAAACTAAATAATTATATACATGTTCATATTCTGAAGAGGAATATTTCCTAGAAAGTTAAACGAAAATGATTGTTTCCGTATGCACATCAAATATCCAGGAAATGCTACCATGTTTCCAGAATAGTTTGTGGAATCCTTGGGCTTTTCAGGGTGAGCTGGGTGCGCTGAAAACCCTTTTCCTACTAAATTCTGCTACGTGGCTCACTAAAGTGAGGGTTTAATGGGAATCATAAATCTTTACCCGCAAAGTAAATGTTACTCCCATGGAAATTTTACTTACAGTTTATGTTTTTTTTTTTTTTTTTTTTTTCTCCCCCTAAAATGTGTCCATATGTTTTAGACTTTATTAAATTTTCTATAGCTTAACTTCCTGAGTTAAATACTTTCTTCCATTAAATGAGTGGAAGAATTTTGTTTTACGGATAGGATTTCACTGTGTGTTACTGCATGTTGTACTTTTTTCACACCCTGTTAATCCCAGGAGTGTCGGCCAGCAGTCCTTAGTAGGTAGCAATAGTCCCTCTGTTACAAAGGCTCAGAAACATGATGTAGCCCACAAACCAAAAATGAGGTATTTCAGAGACGTTCTTTCGTCATTTAGTTGGATTAGTCAGTACTTATTTCCAGGCAGCAGTCAAAAAATAGTTTGGTTTGAAGAGGATGAAATGATCTAAATTGCAGTATTGGCTGGTTGTTACCTAATTATTCCTGTAGCCTTTTGACCTCCAAAGAACAGAAAAGGGTGATTCAGCTGTGACTGTGTGTGTATGATTAGAGTAAAATAGAGCTGTTTTGAAAACATGCAATTCTGTGCAGGTTACTGAATCTTGAAATAAATATTCCAGGCTATATTTTTTAAAGTGGCTAATGATTTATATGCTCAAGTTTTGCTGCTATAACTAATTTTATGACTAAAAAATGACATTCAAAACCTCACAACAATCTCCAAAAAAGAGATTTTAGAACACTTGGAGAACTTATGTCAAATGTTTACATAGGGAAGAAGTTTACCTTTCTTTTAAGTTGCTAGTAAATATAGAATACATCTAAATACTGTGTCCCCCCTTCCCTCCCCCACTGAAAAAAAGAGAAAATTCTAAGATGCTCAGTCTTTTTTTTTTTGTTTTTTCTTTTTACTGTTACTGGCTTATAAATCCACTTGAAATGAGTGAAAGCGTGCTAATTCAGATGAGCTTTCTGAAAGCTAGTCACAAAATGGCTGATAAATGAAAAAGTTCTTTGAGCTGTGAAAGCCCTTACACATCTTTAAAAATCAAATTATTTCAGTATAAATATACTGATGGATTTGAGTAGGCTTCTAGGCTAAAAATTCAAATTGCGTGCCTTTCTGCTATGCTGTGATAACTTACCTTCTGTCTGTATAGACTGCTTTAATTTTTAGCATTTTATTCAAGCACAATATGCCCTTTTTTGAGGATGTTTGAAAACATGCATTAGTAAGGGGGGGAAAAAAAAGCCAATTTTGAGGACCTTCACTTGTGCCTGTTGTTTACTATAGACTTTGTACAGCAACACAGAGCCCATGGGGATTGTAACTTTGGCTGTTGGGTTACCGGTACAGGATGGGGTTGTAAATCTGGATGTTCAGCTAGAGCAGGGCAGGATCAGATTTGTGGAAATACTCACTTGACGTCAACGTGAATAGTATTTCCCAATAGAAAACATGAAAGGCTGCTGTAGGATTTGGATATATTTGTCCTCCAGGCTGTGCAAATAAGATAAAATTAAGACATTACAGGAGAAGTGTAGTATAGTTTGTGCATGAATAACTTAAGTGCAGCTTGTCTTAGATTTGTGTATTTTCATATAGATTTGCTGTCCCTGCTTACCGTTAGAACAATTTTTTCTCTGCCAAGATCTCTTCATCTTTCATATCCCTTTCCCCCTGTTGCTCATTTTGTGTGGATTATCTGAGAGCGTAAGCTAGCAAATTTACTGTTTGAGAGGCAGTATTTTTAAAGGAAAATAAGACACAGTGTCATGTTTGTAACAAATAGCTGCTTGCTAGTAGCAAGAATTCTGTCCACTGTGGGTCAGGTGATGGCAAAGAGGATGTAATTAAAAACTGACAGTGCACAAAAGATGATGGTATTAGGTAGAAACTAATGCATCTGTGACACCCCTTAAAGCTTGTGCTTAATGCACGTCAGAAGAATAAATCCTCTATACCCTTACAGCAAATGGATATAAACAGAACCTAAATCTGATTGAAAATGTCCTTTTTTCTACATTCCTTTTGTTTATTTAGCTAGATTAAAATATTACATATTTATTTAGGACCACATCTTTGGAGAAAGAACGAATCAAACTTATTTCAGCAAGTCTCATGAGTTTTGCTGAGCATCTTTGAGAGTAAAACTGCTCTCAAAGTCAGACGGTTTGGGGATGTTGTTCCTGTTGTGGGTGCTCTTCCCCCTGCACCATGCCAGGTGCTCCAAAGCACCAGTTCTTCTGGACTCTAGTTTGAAGATGCACGTGTTTGGAGTATCATTTATTTCAGGCCTCCACGTCCATCTCTGGAATGCTGGACCAGGCTGCCTGCGCTGCGGGTGTTTGTAAGAGCTGCTGTATATTGGGTTTGGTGCATCTAGCTGTTGTATTTGATCAGTGGTATCAAGATTGTCACCATTTCCCCTCTTCTTCCTCTAGCTTTCCACTATTCTCTTTACCAGTTAGGAAGTGTATCCCTACAGGCTTTAGGCATCTGCTGCAAACAGCCCATTTACATGCTGTGAAATTGATACAAGGCCGGAAATAAGTTGCATAAAATGTTAGTTCTTTGACAGAGAACTTAAGGAATTGGGACACAGATATCTGAAAGATGGCATTTTTTTATATATATATGTGCCACTAGTAAGTTCAAGTGTTAAATATACCTTAGGGGTATATTTAAATCACGATTATCACTGTTAGGTGAAAAGTCAGGCTTTTATGCACTGTGCTGAATACATTCACACTGCTGTCATATTAACTCACG